ACTATGATGGAAACATTCTGGATGCCAGTGCCTTTGCTTTGTTAGCAGCATTAAAAAATGGTAAGTCTTCTCTAGAGCAAGAGACGCGTTCTGATTAGTGTTGCTTGGAGAAATGTGTTAGTTTTGAATCATGATGAATAGGTAACTGGTTCACAATTCCTTAAGACTCCTTTTTTTTCCTGTCATTTGAATGCCAGATTACTAAAATGCAAATACAAAGTGGTATGGATCCCATAGATGTGTAACACCTGGGGAGTAGGATCTTTTTGTATGTGTGTTACTGCTCTCTTATAAGACTTAATCGCTATTTTGCCATGTGTTCTTCTGTGTCAGAGGTCTGAGTCTTTCAATAGTGGTTAAAAAGAACTTTAATGTCTAGATCAGGGTCTTACCTTGTTAATGTATTTTGTGTAGGCAGAATAAGTTGTTGGGGGGGCTTTGCTTATTTGTCACAACAGAATATTCCTAGCTTAATGCATTGTAGTTTGAAAAAACTGTTTTCATGCATGCAACATATGGATTGATTATTCACAGGTATGTGGATTATAAATGCACATAGGAGGCAGTATAAAGGGAAGCTGACAGCAAGGCCTCCTTTTCTAACTAACTGAATTGCTTGCCTTTAAATTCCTATAGCTACTTTGCTCTTGATATTTTGTCTTCAACACTGCATAGGTTGTCAGAGCAAGAGTTATCTGAAGATCAGATTGCACAGATTTTTATATGTCCAGTAGGATTTTTGGGGAAAAGTACTTTTTTTAAAATATGACTCTAAAGGTATTGTAATTGTATGGCATTTTGGAAGCAGAAAATGCTTCTGTGTAAAGAAGAATGTTAGCTTGAGGAGAATACTTTCTCGAATGGGTGGTTTTAAGCTAAATACTTTCCTCAAATTCAATAAATTTTTTTGTACAGAACACCAGTAATGTAGCCAACACTCTATTCTTATTTGTTTTCAGTGGCTTACCAATATGGTAAAAGAACAGCTTAAATATTTCAGTAGTCTTGGACATCCCTAGGCCTACTAAAACCAGCAATGTTTAATATTATACCATTGTCATTTTTTCATCTCTTCAGTGCAGTTGCCATCAGTTACTATAAATGAAGAAACTGGTTTATCAGAAGTTAATTTAAAACAGAAGAATCCTTTGATTATCAGAAAGCATCCAGTTGCCACATCATTTGCTATATTTGATGAGTAAGTTCGTAACTGTTTTGTACTTAGGAAAACAACTGTGTGTGTAAAAGAAGGGAAAGACAGAGGGTGCTACCAATGATGTTTCTGCACTTAGGCACTTCTGCTAGCAAAGAACGTGCAGTCTCGGGCAGCGCTGTTTCACTCCATCTTAAATCCATGGCCTCTCTTGAACTGACCTGTAGTTCTGTGATATGAATGAGTACGCAGAACAAAACAAAGTCTGTCCAACTTCTTCCTATGACTTAAAGCAGAACTGGTTCCCAACCTAAAAGATATGCTTAAAAGTATGGGAATAGGTATCGTTCTGTTTTTGCAGTATCTTTGAGACGAAAGAATGTTACCAGTGCAATTAATGTTTTAGAGCCTATGTAAATAACCGGTATAAAAGATGGTAGATTTTGAACAGCTTATACCAAGGATTTAGTCAACAGAGGAAGTAAGAAGTAATGGTCCAGTTAGAACAACAGAACAGAACCGAATATGGATAACCGAAAACATAATTACCCAAGATGAAGTATGACCAAGACTCTTAAGTCATTGTTCATGTAAAGAATCTGATTATGAGAATTCAAAATAATCACATCTGATAACTTGACTCCTCACCTGAAATTGTTTACTGGCTCTTCATTAGTCCAAGTATGTTAAGTACGTGTTCTGCTGTTTATAAGAAATGCAGTTATTTATGGTGGTATCCATTTGGAAAGTAGAAAATGACAAGATGATGCTCACTGTGCTGTGAATCTGATTTAAGATTTAGGTATATTTGGAGACGCCAGGGGGTTATGGCACACTAATCTGTATTCGCAGAAATGATTAATGGGCCCTTTCGTTCAAATATGAGATGGGGTGGGGGGAGCACTGAACTCAAGTGTTGACCAAGTGATTACCAAAATGAATGAAAGCAGAAAGTTATCAGTCCTTTAGAGTGCTTCTATTAATCGTTTTAATACCAGTTCTTGTGGGTCTAGGAGTTTGATGTAGACTGAAAGTGGGAGTTTGGATAGGATGATAGGCAGGCAGTTGTCAGTAGGATATTATTTGCACACAAATCACACGTACTTACCAATAGACGAGAAGTTGCCTTTGGAAGAAAGCTTTCAGTGACAGTCTGTCAGGCTTTGTTCCCTTCACTGAAACCGACTGTTACATCAAATAAGTTACTGAAGTCTCCCTGTAGCTCTCAAAACTAAATATTGAGGGGGTGTGTGCCTGTGTTGTGTGGTTTCGTTGTTTTTTGGTTTTTTGTGTTTTTTTTGTTTTTTTTTTTTTTTAATTCTGGTTTATTAGTTTTTCTACAGCTGTTGATGCAGCCCTCTAAATAATATGCTTTACATACTCTGGCTTCCAGAGATATTTTTCTTCTGCACAAAAGCCCTCCTTGAATAAATAAAACTCCTGGGTTGCTGGATAGTACAGCCATGGGCGAGGAACGCTGGTGCAGAGCGCTGTGCAGCTCCACAGCTGGCTCCTGTGGAGTCGGCCTGTACATAAATAACAAGTCCGAGGCATCGAACTCTCCGTGTGTGCCAGGTCCCTGTGTCACGCAAAGGGCCGATGCTGCACAGTGCATGCGGGTAGCATTAATAAAGCAGTACTTTTGAGTATTGTAGCTATGGACTGATGTTTTCATTACACTATTGCTATTAAATGGCAACCTGAAACTATTGGTGAAGTTTTAAATTACCCAGAAAACCTTTAGTTGTGCATTGCATGCGAGCTCAAATTGAAAAATTCTGTTACTCTTCCATCTATTTTGTGTAATCGACTCCTGTAGCCTTGCTGCTGACTTTCCCCCTGCAACCTTGCCATAAACATCACTGAGGATAGGTGTACTACAGCTGCTAAATTGAGTTTGGTTACATCAATACTAAATTTTAGTTCAACAGTGTAAACTGAGGCTTCATGAAAACTTTAGCTAAAGTCTTTCCTGTCAAGATACCTGCACTTCAGCCAAATGTTTGTAATGGTAGTGATTTTACTTATTTATTTATTTTTAAAAGAAACTAAGGCTCAATGGTGGTTGTTCAGCTTTTTTTACCTTCAAGTTTTTCTTGTTGTGCAAAGTTGGCTTACAGTTTAGATCACCTTCTTTCTTTTGCCATTAGTTTACTCTATTTTTAACTTAAGTGGTTCAAAAATAACAATATTTAATCTCTTAATGATCTGCATTATGTGATGTATGACAGCTTATTTTGGCTGCCTTAAGGAACCCAGTAAATCCATTTTTGAACTATTCCCAGTCTGAGTGGTGTTAGAGTTCTCTGACAAGAAACTGAGAACTATTTTGGTGAATTTACCATTGGAAATGAGTTTTGCCTTAAGGTCTAGTAGAGATTAGTGCAGCCTACGCCTAAAAACAATGCCATTTTCTTTGCGTAACTATGAAATAAGTGACTGCATGTTGCAAATAGCAGTTTAATGGCATTTTCCTGCAATACATGGGTGTCACAAATCTATGAAACTTAGGCATAAAGCTGTATTTTCAACAGCTAGTATTTTAATGGACACGCACTTGAATATGTGGAATCTCTCACTTCATTTTTTTTTTTTCTTAAATTGGTGCATTTTCATAAGAAAACAGAGAAGCCCGAGCACTAAATCCACCTACAAGTATTTTGTAAGACTACAGTAAAAATTAATAAGAGACTACAGTAAAAATTAATGTTATGTGTACTTTGCAATAATGTTAATGGAGCAACGTATACTAATGTGTCTGCAACGTTCCTCTTTCACAAGCACATTACTCATCGTTGATCCAACTGCCGAAGAAGAAGACTTAGCAACTGGAACTGTAACTATTGTAACTGACGATGAAGGCAGACTGTGTTCTGTCCATAAACCAGGTACTTCCAAGTTTATTACACAGGAACCTCTGGAGATAATAATCTTTTCTTGACCTAGATGTTATGTACCTGCTTTTCTTTGTGAAATGTGGGTGCTTTATGGAAACAGGCTGTCTGCTTGAGTACTTATTAAATGCTCTTGAAATTCATTTTGAAAAAGGTGGCGTGACTGAAGTTGTAGGTACCTTCCAGCTGAAATAGTCTATTCTAAGTTCAAAAAGAAGTCACAGCTTGACCTACCTAGAGCAAAGGCATGTCTCCTGTTGTACCTCCAGTTTGTTTCTGTTTCCTTTGCCTGAGGCTAGAGTCGGGGAAAGCTGTATGCTCCCCAGGTGAAAGTTGTTGGTCATGAGAATTACTGTATTACTTAATACTCTCATTTGGAAAACACATTTAGAGATACTTAACTGAAGTATAAGTAGAAAATCAAACTGTTCCCTTTAATTTTTAGGTGGAAGTCCTCTTACAGGAGCCAAGCTTCAGGACTGTATCACCAGAGCAATTACAAGACACAAAGAAGTAAAGAAGCTGATAGACAAAGTCATAAAAAGTATAAAGCCCAAGTGAACAAAAGGAGAGATCTTTTTCAAAAATGGATTTGTAAAAATTGTATTTGTTACAGTGTTCACAAACCTTTTATACTAAATAAACAAATACCATTACTACATTTACAAAGTTCATTTTCTCTAAAATGTTTTTCACCCTTATACTATGTACAATGCTGCCAAGTGGTAAAAAATACAAGATAAAACGTTCTGTTAAAAAAATTAAGTGACTTAAGGAAACCAGACCCTCGCTGCTTTATAGATTAAATCTCTAAGTTCTGTAGGGTTGGCTTCCAAAACCAGTTCATTTATTTCAGTGTAATGTCAAAAGTTCATTTTCCACCAGTAATATAAAACACTGATTTGTTTTAAGCTGTCTCTTTTTTAATCTGAAGAAAAAAAAAATCCCCTCAATCAATTTTTTGGGGGGGAATGCTGTTGATGACGCAGGTGAGCTGCTTGTGCTGCTGCTGCTGCCATAACCATTTGATGCTGCAAGAATCGCAACTGCTGCCATGAAGAAGGGGGAGAAAAAGCTTGTTAGTGTTGACTATAAAGCTACGTTTCACATCAAGAAGAATGAAAGGAAGGTGGGGGGAGTGGGGAAATGAAAAGGAAAAAAATGAGGAAGCACCAGGTTGACAAAAGGAATGCACCACGTACTGGGGCAATGAGTACAGTCAAGCAGCACCAGTGGCACAGAAGCCGGCTGAGGGCATATCCAACATTTTACACGTGTACTTGGACAGCTTTGTGTCTTTGCCCTTTCTCTCCATTGCAGTAACTGCAGTAACTCAGCAACTTCAGTGAATTGGGTTACGTAGTAGACTTTTACATAATGCCTTCTCAGTGGACGCATTGTATGCATTTTCTACATGTATCACAAAGAGGAGACTGTGTGCTAAAAAACTTCAAAATATTTTCAGAAAGCATCTGAGTGACAGAATGCTAAAGGCATGCTTTGCCAGAGCTGTTGCTTCCATGTACTGCCTGTAGCAGTGCTACATGTGAACTTACAGGTGCTTACATTCATGCTATTTGAAATCTATTGGCACCTGGCAGAGCTTATTTAGGTATGTGCCACAAGCACCCCTTGAATGTTAGCATGGATGGCTTAAATGAATAAAAATAAATTCAGTGCTCCAAGCTAAGAGAACCACAGATTTCAAATGTTCCATGATATAGTTTGCCAAAATTCACTTTTTTTTTTCATTTGCAAGACCATAAAGACATAAGTTTAAGGAAAAAAAAAAAAGTCAAAGAGGCAAGATTTTTTGTTTTGGAGCTGAGAATTGTATTTTTAAATTTCCTTAATTTTATTTTTTAAACACAGTCAGAGTGAAGTTGCTGGATTACTTGTATCTGTTGCTGCTGCTGCTGCAAGGCTTGTTGTTGCTGCTGTTGTAAGGCAGAAGAGAGCTGGAGTCTCTGCTGAGGAAGGCTTTGCCCAGGTCTGTTCACAGCAGAGCCAAGCTGAGACAACACTAAGAAAGGAGAAGGGGAAAGCAGGCAGGTCAAAGAGGTCAGGTTGAGTTTGTCAGGGTCAGGCAAGGAAGGCATAGGGAAATAGTGTAACAGAAAAGGGGGATCAATAGAGTTAGTTTCAGAGTCAAATTGGAAACAGTGCAGAATAAAGTATACATGATATACACACTCTGTTAGTTAGAACGTAATCAGATTATGAAGTGCTTGTGGGGGCACAAAGAGGTTTCTCGTACTGGATGTTAAGCACACAGTTAAAGAAACATTCCTCAATGAAGTTTGGCATGGAAGTTCCCTGTATTTTCTTTTTGTGTCGTGTGACTTATTTTCACATGATATTATCAATTTACTACACTTAACTGCCAAACAAAGCAGAAAAGTGCATGCTTGGACTTTCAAAGTTCACTATTTCTTGCATAATTCATGCAGCAATCACAGTAAATTGTTCTGATCTAACGTAAGACTTCTTTAGGACCAAACTTCATTTCAGTGTGAATTTATCAAGATACACACTTAACTACAAAAGGAGGCTCAGCAAGCACATACCTGTGGCTTGAGGTTGCATAAAATTCCCTACTCCAGTCAGGTTAATTACAGCAGCTTGTTGGGCAGATAATGCCTGATCTTGATTGGATGGACCTTGGTCAGACCCCTAGCAAAAATGAAAAGCTTGATCCTTATTACCAAACTTTGGTATCAATGAATAAGTAAACAAAGCCAGTGTGAAGGCAAACTTTTGAAGTGCCATTTAAAAACATTTAATCCTACAGCTTCCAGTGTGTGTATAGATACAGGCTATAATGTAGTCACTATTAAAGCAGAACAAACAGATGTTGAATGCCCCAAAACAGCTCAGTTTTGGCAGAAATGGTATTATGTCTGTTACCCAGCAGAAGTCCCATGTTGTTGTCAAGTTCCCTGCAGTCAGCAGAGACTACAGTTTATGGTTGTAATGTTATGACATAAGACCAAAGTCTTCAGCTGACACCTGAAAACATCCACGTGCAAAGGTCCTAATCGATCAAAATGTGAGAAGTCTGAAACTTACGTTCATGTGTTCACATTGTGCCACACACTCCTTAGTTTCACAAAAATACAAACCCTGCTTTTAAAATTTTATTTTCAGAACAGAGTAGTTCTCACAGTAATCACTCAAATGGAATTAGTGGAGTCTGATCTAGTGTCTGTTGAATTATGACCTTTTCTAGAACTTAAATAATTCAAGTTGATTCATAAAGTGAAGAAATAAAATATTATATATGTGATTCAAGCAAACTGCATGGCTTATCAGTCAGAAAAAAAAAAAGGTGCTTCTGAGCTGGTGCATTTCCAGGAGTTGCAATGCTTATTTAGGATAACCATATGAAATAATGCCACTAAGATCTAAGTAAACTTGACCAAAAGATTGCACATTAAGAAGACACCATCATCTCGATGAAGACGACTAAGAAAGACTTACAAAGTCATAGAACCAACTTTTGGGAAAAAACCCTAAGTACAAGATGAGAATGTATCTATTCTGTTGGCAGCACAGAAAAATTGATGGTCTTTTGGGCTTAGGTTTTTTCCACTAAGCACTTGGATTACAGCACTGTGAACACATACGTGCTTGTCCTTAGTGAAAGCTAAGGAATCCGGTATTCATGATAGCTCATTTTAGCTAATGACCCTAGTCTTACTCTATAATGTGTGGTAAGAGAGAAGTTCCTCAGGGCAAGTTAGGCAATGCAGAGAGATTGATTTCCTCCAGAAGAACTTTCTGCCATAAGGAGGACTAGACTTACATCAGCCCTTTTGTAAATGCCCTTAAAGTTCAATGTCCAGAAAATAAAACCCAATAGTATGAGCTTGCATGATTTTTTTTTTTTTTTTTAGTAATTCAGCTAGTAACTGACATTTGGATTCAGAGAATAAATCTGAAAGTCTCCCATTAAACTGTCCCACATTCCAGAACAAGGCCTGTGACACAGGAAACTATACACCATAAAAACATTTTAAAGAGGCATCTTATTTATGAACAGTCTACAGTAGCACAAGCAAAATTATTATGACAAACTGAGTATCCAGTAGAGACTATTTGGTAAACAGAAGTCTTGCATGTCTGGGAAGACAAAGGATAAAAAAAGACAAAAGCAGAGCAGCTGGTTTTCCCAAATTGCTGCATTAATGCTGATAAGATTTTTAGGCACAGGTAGAACCAACCACTCAAAATTTGTCATTTTGAGAGCAGATTAGTCTCTATCAAGACTCTAGACTTCTTCAGTGACTAAAGCCTTTAACACCAATTACAGGCAGCAGTAGAGCAAGTGTCTTAAGATTACAGCTTTAAAGCCAACTGATATTTTCTCTGGTGAAAAGAGAACAGTTCTGTTGAACTACAGCAGGAAGGATCATAACCCAACTCACAGCAGTGTAAGTAAGAAGTTTGAGTTACTCTGGTAATCCTGACCGTGTTTCTTCTCTGTTCATCTGATGTATCTGCTAGTTATGATAAACAGGGCAACACTAAGCTGATTTTACACCACGCATACAGTGGGCTGGCTCTCTTCATGCTAGAGTACGCCAGTTGTTTTGCTATAGCTCTTCTATACAAGATATAAGTAAAGGAGTATAACCCAGCTCCAGCCATGGCCACAAAGCCACTGCAGTCTTTGCAGTTTGAGAAGGTTTTGGAGGAAGACTTTCCTCCCCTTCTGCTTCAGATCTGTTGTGTAAAGGCTCATTTACTTGTGGAGATGGGGAGAATAGGAGAAACTGTTTCATCCACGCATCCCAGACTGAGGGCTGTTAGCACACACCTGTTCTCCCTGTTGCTGAGGACTACAGGTTGTAGGCTGCTGAGATTGTTGCTGTGGAGAAAACTGTGACAGCTGCTGCTGCTGCTGTTGTTGCTGGAGTGGGTTAAAAATAAGTGAACCACCTGGAAGCTGTTGAAGATTAAAAACAAAAGGCATAATTCAATCAAACTGCGGAGTTTCCCCACTGTCCTAGGATGAGCATGACATTGATAATGACATACTCCTTGGAGGCTTGTTTTTGTTTTGGTTTGGTGGGGTTTTTTGTTTTGGTTTGTTTGTTTGGTTTTGTGTTGTGTTTTTGTTTTTAATCCTTTAAAATGAATCTGTTTACAATTGGTCATGTTTGTGAAAAAGCCTTATGCTCAGGAAACAAACCTGCATTAAATTATAGCAGGAAACAGAAAAATACATTCTTATTATTCTAATTAAAATAGTAGAGATTGTACTGATACTGGAGATATAACAGCTAGTCTTCAAAAGCACTGTATGTTATTTTCACTTTCAGAATATTCCACTGAATTTTAATAGATGCTTCCAATCAACAAGCTGCAAGGTCTGAGACAAAAAAATGTTAAAGTGAAACAGTCTTGATTCCTCTCCCCTACCCCAGCTTTAATTGCACTGATTTCAGCCAAATTATTCTTGGCTTATACAAGTGGCAGAGGTAGCTTGAAACGATGTACGTCAACATGGAATTACACAAATACAAGCATTAAATTTTATAGAAGAGCTCTACTCTGGCGTAACTGCCTCCTGTACCTGCCATTTTCCACGTTTCTGGAGTGTGTACAGGAGTGGGAGGAAGAAGTAGCAGAGCTACAGCTCATCTTTTACTGGTATTAATTTTTTGAAGCATGGTGCAACATTTGCTGAACACTGAAGTTGCACTTCTGCACCTGTAACTCCCAGCTGACTTCAAGATCCAGGAACTACACCCAGTTCCACAAACACTCCCTGTTCTGCTTTTAAATGGAGCTCTGACATAATAAGCAACTTTGGCTCATGTTTGTATTTGTATGTATGCTTAGTGGAAAGAAAAACATTTACAGACCTTCTGAACTCCCTATATTACATGAACTTCTGTTTCCATTACCAGAAGCTCTTTAAAGCTATTACTGCACCTACCCGTGCATGTTCAGCTCAGCTTTTAGGCCTGTATGTGTAACCGCTGAGTGATTCTACTGTATTGTTTTGTACTTTTAAAACAATCATAACTTCAGTTTAAAGAATGATTTGCAATAAAAGCTTAGGCAAATCCTGAAAATAGAAGATTGTATTTCAGGATTAATCTCTTGAATTCAAATGTCAGCATTTTTAGATTCTTACTGAGAATTAGCTGCTTTGTTGGAAGCTAAGAATATAATTTCCACCTTGTATCTTTATGAAAGTAGCTTTTTCTCGTGTTCTAAGTGTTTTAAGCAAGCAATTAAAATGTGCAGTAAATGGTTTTACTGATCAACTAGCTTCAAAGCTCTGCAGGGGCAATGCAGTAAGCAGCACTAAACGCATCTATAAAGAAAATTAAGAAATTATTATTATTGTGTCCAAGTATATCAATTACCTGTAGAAGATTTAAGGGCCGAAGATTTGATGCATTTTTCAAACCAAAGGGGCTGCCTGTTAAAGAAAACATCTTTTTATTAGTTGGAAGTCTTTACTTAATTATATATGTGTATTGCAATTAATATACCTTTCCACTGGGATCATTTTTAAACATTTGGAAGTTGGAAAACTGGCAAGTTTTAATTTTATAGTTAATACAATGCTGCTTTTTCTGTAGTGTTGATAATTTCATAGTTATCCAGATTCAAAGTTAAAGAGAGCTGACTAAACAGAAAGAAAACTGTATCGCTACTAAACACTGTACCCCATAACCTGTTAATGCGTTTACCCAAAGGTGAATGTGGAGAATATCATAGCAGTTATTCTTCAGTGATTCTTCTTCCAACTTTAACAAGTTTTACTGTTTGTACAGTAAATCCAGAAATGCCCAAGGGCTCAATGGAGCAACAGGCTCTCAGTTTCTCAATCATTACCAGAAAACAATCCCACCCAAAATCTTAGCAACTGCCCAGCCCCCCAAGGGCTTCTGGCAAGATGTATCTGACTTATAGAGCTTTTGGCATTATTCCACATGGCACTCTTCAAAGCTACGCTAAAAAAAGATGTATATGTAGTACACTATGAGTTGGGTATAGAACAGATACAAACATTCCAGTAAAACAGTGGCTGTCAAACAGAATCCCCCAGAGGTCTGCCACCGACCTAGCTCAGCTCACTACTCCCATCTCTTACGTGGGTGACAGAATAGCATGTAAAATCTGTGACACCAAACTGCTAAAGGTTGACAGAGCTTGAAAGGACAAAATTAGAATTAAAACTGATCCTAGGGAACCAAAGAAAGAGTCCCAAAATCAATAACATTGAATTAAAAAAAACCACAAATGAACAAGTACAAAATTGTAACTAGCTTTGTCTCTATACAGCAGGAAAGGACATGAGAAGTTACAGCAAGTCACAAACATATGCAAATCATCCATATCACAAACTATAGAACACACAAAAGAACCTCTTCACGCAGTTCACATTTATAAAACTCACTGTCACAAGATGCCGTAGATGCCAAAAATATAAATGGATTCAACAACCGATTAGATAAATCCACAGACTAGAAGTCTAGCACAGGATATTAAGCACAAAGATCCACATGGATAGTCTTCAGCTGAGAAAGTCTCAAAGCTGTAGATTGCCAGAAAAGGTACAGTTGTATACAAGGGATGTTTCACTTCACACTTCTGCCTCGTCTTAAACTCTCTCCTAAGTATCCTCTAATGGCGACTGTCAGAGACAGAATATAAACTGGACAGATTTTTGGCCTAAACCAGTAAAGCCATTTTAATGTTAATGTAATGCTGTTGCAAAAAAAAAAAATACAAATAAAAACAGGCAGACCTCATTTGGGGAAATGTTAACAGGAATGTTGTGAAAGAGATGAGATGCATTTATTCTGCTGTGCTCCACAGTGGTAAATCAGCCAAGCTCAGGCTTGTGTCCAGTTTTGGTTATCACATTTTAAGAAGGATGTAAGCAAATTGGACAGTCTAGAAGAGAGTGACAGGATTATGAAAGGTTTGAAAAATACGACCTATCAGAAAGAGAAGACAAATGTGGGACATGACAGCATGTTTGATACTTAGAAGGTAAAGAGAAAGAGTGAACAACTATTTTTCATGTCTGCAAGGAATAGGAGAAAAAAAAATTTAATTTGCAATTAAGGAGATGCACTGCAATTAGAAGGAAACATTTTGTACAGATACTGAACTACTCCAAACAGCTACTGAGGGAGACTGGAATCTTCTTTAGTGAAGGTATTTAAAACCAGCTTAGATAAGCATTGGTTCAGTATGGTTTAGACAGATTTGACTCTGCCTCAGTGTAAGGGATGGATATCTTGAAGTCTCTTCTATACTTCTGATTCCATAATCATACATTAGGGTTTGGTTTTTTTTTGGTCTCTATTATTTTTTCAGAAAAAATAAACCAATAATTTAAATGCTGCTTTAATGAATATTGAGGCATGCAGATTTAGACAGTCACATTTGAAGGCAATAAGGAACTAATTGATTGTCCTCCTAGAATAAAGCAGTACCAGTGACAGAATAAAATGCCCCGCACATTTCAAAGTGATGCATCTTTCTAAGTTCAGTCATGCCTTTTTTTCTGGCAGTCATCATTATCAACGTTGCATTTGAATTTGTAGTTTCTCTCAAACTTCCTACTAAGCATACCGAACAATCCAGGTTTAGAATATGTTTCCCCAGTCTAGCTCCTCAAAATCAATTTCAAACAATAACAAACATAGCCTGCACTTTGAATGCAAAAATATCTATGTTGTTCCCGAGCTCCAGCCATCAAATACACAATCTATTCACACAATGGCCACTTTCGTCCACTGTTTTCACACTGTCCCTATCTGACAGGTGGCTTTTCAACTTATTCACACTAACCTGCTTGAGAGGCAGACTGCATTGCAGCGGGCAGCGCACTTGGTACCAGACCTCCTGATGGTAAAATGCCACTCAGATTTATACCTGCAGGGGCTATGGCACCAGTGTTGCACCCCAACATGGGGTTTGAACCACTCATCAGTGTCTGTGCTCCACTGTAGAAGAGGAAAGACAACACATCAAACCCAAGTGGTACAACTAAATCTGAGCAACTAAATTTTTGCCCTCTGTCTCACGACAAGTAAATCAATTGTTTGCTGTAAATAGGATTATGGATAAAGCATCAAGGCAGCTTAAAAATTGTTATGCCTAGGGTATAACAAATGTGTAAATCCATGTTCTCGGTATATATGATTTTTTTCTTTGGTATAATCTATGGAAAATAAAACACAAGTGGTTCTTTTATTCTAGAAATACTGGAAGATCAGTCTTCAAAATGGTTGTACTACCATAACAAAAAGTTAAGAAACAGGTCTGTGTTTTCTTTTTGCACTATTAAACAAAAAAAAAATCTGTCTAAATAATCAACAGCGATTAACTGCTGAACACCTTGCATGAGTAATTTAAGTGTCTGATACTTGCACTGAAGCACACTATGTGTCTTACACTGACCAAGTTATATTGATCACAGAATTTCATTTAGTCTAAAAAGCAGTTCACATTATACCACACAATCTATTCTTTACAGCAGCATTTTTAACCACCAAATGAGTTTTAGGGATCAAAGAATGTTTAACCTCAGTGTTTGATTAAATTGTTAGAAAACAGATTTGTTGTTTTCTTGTGTTTTACATACATCCTTTCATTCATAGGCACTTTAATATCAAATCTCTTTCCATTTTTCATTTAGACTGGTCTGCATATGATATTCCACTTCCTGATTAATAAGAAAAGTTTTCAAACTTAAAGAGCAAAACCTCAGAAACCACTTAAATTGAGGTTAAGCTTATGAAATTCAACTATATGCATCCAAAAAGCTGAAAGCACACTTTTCTTAATAGACCTTTTCAATATTCTGATAGTAGGTGCCTTATATTTGAGAAATACAAGTATTTTCTAGTGGTTCTTCACTTTATAATTACAAAGTGAATGATCTTTTTGTATTGCAGATCCTGAAAAATATCTGTCCTAATGGATGCTGGACAGTCCTGTACCACTCTCGCCCTCCCCACCCCACTGCCCCAACCACCAACCCACCCAGGGCAAATTAAGAAAGCATCGTAACAAAAAAACCCAAAAAACTTACCACACAGAGCCCACTACATTGATGAAGTTAAGTCCTGCAGGGTTTGCCATGACCTGGGTGGAGGTTGTTCCTGTAGTAATGGATGTTACCATGGTGGAAAGAGGAATGGTCATTACAGGCAGTGCCTGGCTCAGAGACATTTGCTGCTGAGCAAATGGGGTTAACAAAGTGGGCTGAGGGGTGAAGCCTGAATCTTGGGGAGTAGGGGTGGCAGAAGGGGTAATAGGAGTTGAGCTCTGAGCATCAGGAGGGTGTGGGGTCGATGAAGGGGTGTTGGTTGGAGTAGGAGTAGATGGTTTAGGAGTTCCAGACCCTGCTCATTGAGAAAAATAAAAAGCGCTAGTTTGTTATAAAAGGCCAGTCCTTTTTGTATAATAAGGTTAATGGAATCTTATTTAGCACTGCCAATTTGTTCCATTTTTTAGACTGCAAGTGTTAATTTCTACACGACACGAGTGTTGCAGCACACACTCATTGTTAAGGATGCAGTATAATCACACAGAAAACCCATTCTCCATGCTTAATTCCTTAAGCCATACACCAATTTGTATCCTCCATTAAGTCCTTCCATAATTTATCGTACATTAAGTCATAACTCCATTCAAAAATGCTTAAAATAAAACAATTTCTTAGTGACCATTTTAACCTAATTTATGTTTTTGTCCTAAAATGTTAAACATATAGTCTATACGCACTGCCTGCACAATAGCATTGTGTTAAAAACATATCATGGAAAACAACAGATTCAACAAAGAACACATACTGTTTCAATAATCATGGTGTTGATCTAAATTTCATCAGATTAGCTAAACTCCCATTTGCCAAATTTTGATCAAATAACAATATTTTTTTAAGAACCAAAGGATAATACTGCATCTTTCAAAATTACTGTGTAATTCCTTCTGCTTAAATGTAGCATGTATAGCTATATTTGTTGTGGATGCAGTAAGCACAGTTTATCAGTAGAAAAACAAAACAAAACCCCCAAAAAAGCTTGAGGTGTTTTTGTTTTTCCTTTTTTTAGCTTTCATGTCCTGCAGAAAGAAAGGAAATAAATGTGAATGTCCAGCTGTTGTGACCAGAGCCTTAAAGGAACAACTGTGTGCAGATTTACACAATTCATAGCACTAACATAAACACAGAGTAAATATGTTAGAAGAAAGCTTTTATAATTTTTCTTTTTTTCTTTGTGCAAAACAAGAAGGCAGAAAACTTACACCTTTTGAGCTATCCAGATTTTAAATTATTTAATGCAAAAAGCATATTATAATACTGTGCAGGATACTGGAATGGGCAGTATACAATTATTAATAAAAAAACTGAGAAACTGCAGCTATGATTTCTCTTTGTACAAATCTGTTCACGAAATGTCTCAAGACGCATACATATTTTAAGAAATGTTTATGATCTATAGCTATGATTACAATGATCCTGTCAGCGTTAGTGAAAATACTTAAACTAGTATGTCACTTATTATTGAAATTTACATTTTAACACCTGAGAATATGGTGCTATCATCATCAGCGTCACCACCACACTTGCAATCAGCAATGATTTGTAAAACAGTGTAGGAGTGTTTTAAAAAATCATCTTATCGTTTATTGTATCACCACCTTGGGACTGATCAGATTATATACATACATAGAGATACAACTGCACCAGCTCCTATAACATTTAAAAAACCAGATGCTTAAATTATGTAAAGGCAAACTGATCTAACATACTGTTTTTACACTAGAGGAAAAAAAAAGAAATCTACACTTTGGAATTTTATCTCATCACATCATCTACCAGCCTTTCATAAATGAGATCATACTAATTGCATAAAATGTATTAAAACGTATACACAGAGGGTGCATACATATATACAGAAAAAACGAACACAGTTACAATAAACATAAAATACATACAGTGAACAAGAGACCTGCCTAAAGCTGCACAACTTATACAATTTAGGGTACACTGTACACTTAAGTTTCACCATTCCACAGGTTAAGAAGTTTATCTCAGGAAGCATTTATGCAAAAGCCTAAGATTTAATGGAGAATTTAGGTCGTGACTCACTTTGTGAAGAGCTCGCAGGAGACATGGCAGCTGGAGAGAGCATGCTAACTTGATTAAGATCCATAGATTGTTTCCGAGAAAGACCAGGAGGCTTAGAAGGAGGAGGAGGAGGAGGAGTTGGGGATTTTAGATGGCCACTTGACTGTTGTGGACTAAAAATATTACCTGAAAAAAGCATAATTAAAATACATTATTGTTGTCTGAGTACATGTTAACTCGAATATTTGTTAGGACACAATTTTGTAAACGATATAATCAGAAATCAACAAAATTATGCTCTTTTTACAGAGAAGGTTTTTTTTTAATTAAATCTTTACTAAAGGGATATCATGTCATTTTACAATAGGCAGAACACATAGAAAGGAGACACCGAAGTCAATAAATAATTACCTGAAGAGCTACTTCCTGAACTTGAAGGTAATTTGATGGGAGGAGGTCGGTGTTTTACACCTTTCCCCAATACTGAAGACTGAACAGAGCCTGATATACTTTCTGGCTGCTAGGAGAAAAGAGAAATTCACTATCACAGCAATAATGTGAGCTTCCACATACTTAATAGAAAAGACAATTCAATTAATTTGTATTAGACTTCTCAAAACCATGACAAAATTCCCTTCAAACATTTCAGATTTTTATTTACTTAAAAACATAGCCTATGACCGACTCTCTTTAGATAAAATGTTTACCATCAAGAAGCAGCTTGAAAGTGCCAGTAAAAATCAAATCGAGAAAAAAGAAAAACTAAGGAGTTTCACTTTTCTCTGAGATTCTGAAATCCTTCTTAGCAACTTTTCACAAATGCAAGAGATGCATTTTAAATAAAAGGACAATTTGGTCTTACTTGAAAAATGACTTAATTTCATTCATTCACCATCTGTATACATCTGGCATTTCCAAACAATAAGGATTTAGAGAGCAGGATCAGATTTCCTGATTCTGGGAGTAGGAAGTTAAATACATTCAGGAACATCCCATTGACTTCAGTGGGATCAGAACTTCACTAATCTTTTTAGAGGAAAGGTGCTACCTTTTTACTTGTTCTTATAGCCTACTTATCAGGTTGTTTGAACATAAATTAACTTCAGCTAATCAAGTCTGTAGTTCTCAGTCAGTCACAACAGACCCTAAATCCATAATTTCAATAGCTGACACCATCAAAAGACTCCACAGTGAAACATGTTTATAGTTATAGACTATATATTTTTACCTATAAAGCAAGTATCCCATAAATGAAAGTAATGTCTAAACAAACATAGAGTTCAAAACCTGCTGAAACTAAATAATGAGGCTTTCAATAAATACTTCAATGCTGGAGCCTAAATTAGATGTGCACGGGTAACAAATCAGGGCATCCACCATTGTGCAAAATCAACTTTTTTGGATAGCTTAGCTTCCACTGATTCTCAGTAATAATAGGCACTCCCTCTAGATGTTTCTAATTGTTTGCTTATAAAAAAAAAAAATCTTTTGAGGAAAATTCTGAGGATTACTTTTCTACTATTGAAAACTGTTTTCTTCATTCTGAAAATAAAGACTAATGCCCCATTCAAAAGAGGACTAGATCATTAAGTAGAGAAACCTGAGTAACTTTGGTCCAGCTTTTGGTATGGGCTTGGACAGCCGGACAAGATGACCTCCAGAAGTATCCTCCCGCCCTAAGTTATTTTATGATTTTAATATATATTTATATATAAAATATATACATATATACAAATATACAAAAAATATATACACACACATGCATGCATATGTCTGTATGTATATACACACATACAGAAACACTCATACTCCTTTCTGCAACTGCTGGCGTCTGCATGCTATTCTTCTGGCTGCTACTAAGAACTACCTCTTTCAGAGCAACGTTGTTGCAACTTAAAAGTAGGTATTTAGGGGAAAGATGTAGCAAAGGAAATAGCCCAACAGATACAAAATTCATTTACTAGTTGGAGCCTAAATACAGTTCACCACTAGAGTACTGAATCTGACCAAGGAAGCCAGAAGCAAGTAAAACACAATGGAATGTCAACAGGCACAAGAATCTGGGAATGCAGGAATTTCTACTGGATGTGTGCATACAAACATATGCACTTTAAAGGTTTTGGTCTTGGTTTGTTTGGGTTTTCTTGTTGGGTTTTTGTTTGGTTGGGGTTTTTTTTTGTGTGTTTTTTTTTTTTTTTAAGTTTTCATCTTCAGACTAAAGAGAAAATAATTTTAATAATTTCTAAAGGTAAAAGAAAACAAGTTCAGCTACTACATCTGCTTCTGTGCTTCCTGACCTATAAAATAAAATGCATAGCTGCATTTTACTATACTGCTCTGTGAAAGGTTCATCTGAATAGGGGAAAATGCTACAAAAGAACCTTGGAGCCAACCATGCTATACACAGCCTAAAAAAAAAAAAAGAGACATGCCTAATAGACACAACATTTGAACAGTGAAAACAAAAGTGCTTTCCTCTAACTTTTCCAATATACTCACTTTGAATGATTATGACAATAAAGCATTTAAAAATTCATTCAGAAAGAAATTTCTAGGTTATTTTACTTTTAAACGTGGCTAGCAAGAATTATTCTAATAATTCAATAATCAAATGCAAATAAAATAGATGTATGGCTAAATAAACTCACTTCCATCTCCTTCCCTGGAGAAAGATGACTAAGATTGACCGATCCACCTGAATTATGAAACATTTTCACAGGACATTTAGCTTCATTTTGTACTAACTCCTGATACTGGTTCACCACTCTGAAACAAACAATGAGGGCATAAAGAGATTAACAACTTGGAACTTCTAAAGTAGATACGTATATGTAAACATACACAATTATATGTTACACAGTCATATATTACTTATTTTATGCATAAGTATATATTAGGTAACCATATATTTATATAAAATAGAGATGCACATATACAAAACATATCTATATATATCTTTCTACTTTGTGTTCCTGGGCTCTTTTCTTAAATTTATTCCATTTTAACTTTTCTTTTAATCACTGTCTTTTTTCCTAATGCAAAATAGTTTGAGAAACAAGTTTAAGAAACACTCTTTTGGAGGAATATGCAAAACAAGAGACAGAACAGTTCCCTTCCCAAAAGCAACTGCAGTTCTTTGGGATGTCAGTCAATGGGGATCCCATTCCCATCACATGGGTCCAGAAGCTTTTATAAAACTCTGCCCCATGCTTATGCTCCCTGTGGAACTGTCAATTCTCCTTTAGCTTGAGGTCTATGTCAGATGAGGACTCTCAAAGCAAGGGATGAACTAAGAGGTCCATACTGAATGCACATCCAAGAACCAGTTATCATATCAAAAGTGATCACTCTTCTTTGAGCACCAGGACAGCCAGATCTTATTGTATGAGACTAACGACCAGTGATGTATCCAGGAATTTAAAGCATCAATAGCATCAGGCAAATATGTTTAAAATACTGTTCTGCAAAATAAAATACTCCATCTCCACTAATCCAAGAGAACTAAGTTGACAGAATACTGTTTCACAAACATGAGCAGAATATACAAAGTGACATTGCAGACTTGAAAATCAAGCTGAAGACCTGTTGTTGCTTATACTGTGGCAGACTGAACCTCAATGAAAAACTGCTGGAATATTTCCATTAGCTTACACCTAAATATGATGAACTACACTACATTTTGTTATAGCACTGATTCAATATGCTGCTATGTGACTAATGCAGACATAAGCAAGGGCCCCAAGATACACGGCAGAGGAAAGGGTGCAGTGTACTTTTGTCAGCAATTAGGTTTTAGACTGCCTTAAAATTACAGTGGAATCGGAGTAATAAAATGCCAGGTACTCAAAAAGGTGGTCCTGTCCTCCTTCCTCTTCTGCTGCTTCTTCTTGTCCTAGTCCCTGAAACCCAACTGCTTATTCCAATTGAAGGATTTGTGCAACCCAGTGGCAAACATGATCAGGAAAGCAATCCCACTTAAACCTAGACCCCTGTATTATTGTTGTTTTAGTTTTCAGCCATCCAGTCCCCCAATTCAGCTTACAGCACAAACATAAAAAGTCTCTGTGAGCACAATGGAGGCAGGAGAGAATATAAGCAAAGAGTTTCTTGATCAAAATTATCTATTAAACCAAAGAACATTATTATTGATTTTTGACGAAACCAAGGACTCATCTCCCTGCCAAGCACATAAGAAGAGCCTGGAGGGGTAAGAGCTATGGCATGTACATCACCTCGAGGTCTCCTATAAAGGCAGAAAAACAGAACTGGCTTTGACAGAGATTGCTTTTTAAAGGTTCTGTGCTCATATGCACAAAGAAACACAGGTACTGTGATGTGATGCACACTGACAAACATTTGAAGAAATACTTATTTTGCTGCCTCAGTTATGCCAGAATTACTACTCACAATCATTCTACAACTAACATATACTGCAAAACTGTTTTGTTACTTGCTTCTCTAAGAAAGCTGAATCAAGTAATGTACAACATGCAAAAATAAGTTGTATATATACAAGTCCCAGATTACATTTAAAGTTCAAATGAACAATTTCCATGATTGCTAACTTACCATACAAAATGTCAAGATGAAATTCCTGCTAAGTGCTCTCAGAATTTTATTATTGCCTATGTAATCAAGAATAATTGTGCAAATAACTGTAACAATATGGTCGAACAAAAATTTAGGTAGTGGGCAAGCTGTATACACGTATTTGCTTTCCTCTATTCTTCCTTGCTTCTTAAATATAGAAACTGCACACTATATCCTACTTCTTGTTATGATGATTGATTGCTCTTATTTTCCTCATCTGTTCTGCATCTGTTTCCATAAGCACAACATTAACAGTCATAATGGCTAAAAGGAACAAAATTCATTATATGGCATGAAGCCAAATGGTTTTATATAGTATATTAATTTACCTTTCAGCATCAGTCTTCGAACCAATAAGGAACCTGAAATGTAAAATGTATAATACATTTTCAGTCATGAATTGGACTAGAAGAACATGTCACAAAACCTCAAACAAATATAAATGCTGCTCCTTTTTCAGACCTGCTGAAAATACAAGTAATACTGTATTCATTTAATGGACTGTGTATTATTTAGTATTTTAAATACAAACTTGGCTTCATCACGATATATGCACAATATACGCATGGTCTAATAACGTCTCCTTTAAGAGTAAATTGCCAACAAAGCAGAAGGCAGAAAATGGAAGTTTTGTATTTTATACTTTCAAAAAAAAGTAAGTAAATAACTGCTACAGAATTGCTACTGTAAAAAGTAAAAGGAAAAAGTTATGTATAAATCAACATATCAATATGCTCACACTGAAATATAAACATAAGTGTCCTGTGGGTATGTCAAAAACAGCCCTACCTGTAATATAACAAACATTTAGTTTCCATTGTTTGGTTTCAGTTACACAAATTCTGATTCCTCATGATTTTCCAGAGCTCCTAAATAAGCATTTCTCTTTTGCATAATACTTATGGCTTGCAAACTTACTACTTCAGTGATTTTTTTTTTTTTAAAACACTACAGACCTTTTCTCTGTTTCTCTAGCTAAAAAAAAAAAAAAAGCATTGTTTTATTTTACAGCATAACAACAAAAATGTCTTCTGCACCTTTTACTTCATACGACATTGTTTCCAATGAGGAAGTATCCAAATTTTTATGAACTTCAACTGGTAATGTCTTAAAAATAATGGAGTAGAGCAGTGATTTCCAAAAAAAGCCCAGACCTTTTAATTCACAGCCTTATTACACAACTGTAAGGTAGCACCGCTGTACCAGGAAGATCAGTACTAAGTCTGTGTGCTGGTTTTGACTGGGACAGAATTAAATTTCTTCATACTATGGGGCTATGTTTTGGATTTGTGCTGAAAACAGTGTTGATAACACAGGGATGTTTTCGTTACTGCTGAGCAGTGCTTACACAGAGTACAAGGCCTTTTCTGCTTCCCACCCCACCCCAACAGCGAGTAGGCTGAGGGTGCACAAGAAGTTGGGAGGGGACCCAGCTGTGACAGGTGAACCCAACTGACCAAAGGGCTATTCCATACCATATAGAATCATAGAATCGTTAAGGTTGGAAAAGACCCTCAAGATCATCGAGTCCAACCATTAACCTAGCACTGCCAACTCCACCACTAAACCATGTCCTCAAGCACCACATCTACACGTCTTTTAAATACCTCCAGGGATGGAGACTCAACCACTTCCCTGGGCAGCCTGTTCCAGTGCCTGACTACCCTTTTAGTGAAGAAGTTTTTCCTAATACCCAACCTAAACTTCCCCTGGCGCAGCTTGAGGCCGTTTCCTCTTGTCCTATCGCTTGTTACTAGGGAGAAGAGACCCGACCCCCACCTCGCTACAACCTCCTTTCAGGGAGTTGTAGAGAGCAATAAGGTCTCCCCTCAGCCTCCTCTTCTCCAAACTAAGCAACCCCAGCTCCTTCAAATGCTCCTCCTAAGACTTGTTCCCTAGACCCTTCACCAACTTCGTTGCCCTTCTTTGGACATGCTCTAGTACCTCGATGTCTTTCTTGTAGTGAGGGGCCCAAAACTGAACACAGTACTCAGCTGTCAACCAACACCCCCAGGTCCTTTTCCGCCAGGCAGCTCTCCAGCCACCCCTCCCCAAATCTGTAGTGTTGCATGGGGTGGTTGTGACCCAAGTGCAGGACCCGGCACTTAGCCTTGTTGAATCTCATACAGTTGTCCCCAGCCGAACGATCCAGCCTGTCCAGGTCCCTCTGCAGGGCCTTCCTACCCTCCAGCAGATCGACACTTCCACCCAACTTGGTGTCATCTGCAAACTGCCTGAGGGTGCACTCAAACCCCTCATCCAGATCATCAATGAAGATATTGAACAGGACCGGCCTCAACACTGAGCCCTGGGGAACACCACTCGTGACTGGCTGCCAACTGGATTTGACTCCATTCACCACCACTCTCTGGGCTTGGCCGTCCAGCCAGACTGCACTTATCCAAGCCATGAGCAGCCAGCTCCTCCAGGAGAATGCTGTGGGAGACAGCGTGAAAGGCCTTACTAAAGTCCAAGTAGACAACATCCACAGCCTTCACCTCATCCACTAATTGGGTCACCTTGTCATAGAAGGAGACCAAGTTAGTGAAACAGGATCTCCCTTTCATAAACCCATGGTCATAAACCCATATGATGTCATACTCAGCATATAAAGCTAAGGGAAGAAGGAAGGTGGGAATGGTCAGAGTGATGACGTTTGTTTTCCCAAATAACCATTACGTGTGATAGATCGCTGCTTTCCTAGAGATGACTGAACACCTGCCTGCTGATGGGAAATAGTGAATTAATTACTTCTTTTGCTTTGCTTACGTGCGCGGCTTTTGCTTTACTTATTAAACTGTCTTTATCTCAATCCACAAATTTTCTCACTGTTACTCTTCCAATTCTCTCCCCCATCCCACCAGGGGGGAGTGAGTGACTGACTGTGCAGTGCTTAGTTGCCGGCAAGGGTTAAACCATGACAGTATGGAAAGAAACAGTAAATAACTCAGTCTAGGAATAAAACATCCTGAGTATTAAGAAGATTTTAAGATTTTAATACAAAATAAGATAGGAATTACATACTAGACAATAAAAATAGCCTTCATTAACAGAACTAAAGTTTGCTCAGGCTCACAGCTCCTTGCCTTACTGAAATTTATAGGGTCTATTCTGCAGCACAGGTTCCTCCATACAAAAAATCTGGTACACACAACAAATAGCCAAGAACAGAGAATCTTTGCAGAACCACAGCCAACAACAGCAGATTCTAAACAATTCAAAATGATGAAGCTTCTTAGGAGCTCATGTTTTTCTTTATCATTTATTTAGCCTAAATTTCTTTGCATAAGGGTAAACATAATATAACTACATCTTATGTTTTCACAGCATCAGACAAATTTTTACAACAATCAAAATTATGAGTAACACTGAAAAAGAGTGCTAACAATGTCTCACAGTGTCTCCACAATTTGAGTTGTTCGTGGGTTTTTTTGGTTGGGGCCTTTTTTGGTGTTTTGGTTTTTTTTGGTTGTTGTTGTTTGGGTTTTTTTTTGGTTTTGTTTTTTTGTGTTTTTTTTTTTTTTTTACACAACAACTTTAATGTAAAAGAACATACAGATTTAACATAAAAGTACATTTAAGATATGATGGCTGCTTGAACACATTTTGGGTTTTTTTGTTAAAAAAATTTAGGTTCGTTAGCTGAATTTTTCAAACAAAACTCTTAAATCAGATTGCTAGCTCTACAGTATTTTTATGACTGAAAATTATTAAGTAATGTTTGTCTTCCTTCATCTATCAGATCATAGCACAGTTTAAAAGAACATGCAACTTACTGTGATGGAGTTAATAGGTTGTCATTTTCCTCATCACCTTTGAGTGTCTGGATTTTACCATAGTACAAGGGATTGCCAAGAGACTGAAAAATGGTCAGTTTTGTTTTTTGAAGCTGATTACCAACTTCACATTCAAACACATAATCATCTTTTATTTCCTAAAAAGACACAAGAAAATAACTAAATAAGTCTTAAACAAGTGATAACAGAAACAGCTAGTAAAATATGCCAGTTCTAAACAATACAGTAAGAAAAACACTATAAGAGAAGGGGTGCATTATTTAAAATGAAAGCGATTTGAGAAGAAATTATCTGAAGGGATGAGGGGAAAAAAAGTTTATTATATCTTAAAAATAAAAAAATATTGCAAACCCTAAACAATCATGTTAGATATGGAAAGGCAGACTGCACAAACATATATAGAAAGTTATAAGTTATGACAATGCAAAAAAAAATGCTCTGAGTAAAACGTTAGAGATGAAGATTAAGTTCTCTGGAAAAGTATTACTTCTTGCTAATATGAAACTACAAAGACATTTGTTAATGAAGATTAATTCTTTGTAATTTCAGAGGCAAGATATTATGAACTGATTTATGGCCAATTATATTAAATGACTACTTTTTATCAAATAATGTAATTTGTGCCAAGAATCTTAAGGTTCAACTTAAACATTGCAGAAAGAGCTTTTTGTAAGAGGTATTTACTATTACTTAATCTCTTTCAACATTTAACATTTTCATTTTAACAGAAGCTCTTTTCCATCAGTTTTTGAGTATCTGAGTGAAGAAAGCAATTTGTTGAGCAGAGTACTGCTCTCTAACTTATTACGCTTTCTTTACTATGCAGCAACAGTCCATGTTACTCGGGAGGTTAAAGTTGCTTTTCTTTGTATTTCTGGAAAACCTGAGGAAATTACAAAACTGATTGCATGCATGCCGCGCTGTATGAAATTACAAGTATCTGTGGTAATCTTTCTGTGTTTATATAACACATGGAAGATTAATTGGGGGAGGGAAGACTATTCCCACATTACTTAGATTTTGTGGAAATAAGAGGCATTTTAACTAGAGACAGAGAAGTTTGGCCAAAGGTCTAAACTACTCACATGGGCTGGCCAGACAGTTGGTTGTGAGTCATCAGGCTTGATAGACTTTTCCACTTTGGCATATTTTTCCACCTTAAAGAAAATGGAGATACCAGAAAAGAAAGAACAACAGTATATTGGGCCAGAGTTAAAGTCAATCTAGCACAGTTTCCTGTTTTTAACAGTGGCTAACATGATAGTCTTTAAAAGTGAGTGCCAGAAACAGACAAGGATAGCTTGATAATTTGTACAACGTCCCCCCTTTGTGTTATGCATTCAGAAAAAGTGAATTGGAGAACCTTCAGAACTTTACATTTATTCTGTTACACCACATTTGCTATGTTAAACTTAACGAAAGTGTGAAACATAGCTTAAGACTACAGATTGAAATCACTGCCTGCAGTGTGGAATGGTTAAGAAATTGACAATACCAGTAATACCTAAAGACGCTGATTAGGTCAGGTACAACACTGTCGAAGTGCAAAGGGAGAGAAGGTTTGTACAAACTTAAAGCATCATTTCACATGTAATGCACACTCTTGCCAGCCCTTTTAACTCCAAAGCTACAATCTTGTCTAGTCTACTGAGTGCCTTCTGTATGCTCGTAGTATGTGTTTTGGCAGTGCCAGAAACTGAGAACGTGAATGTCCCTGAGAGCAGAATACACACGGAGTGATCAGAAGAATTCCCAACTAGAATTCTCATGTAAAAAAATTAAACTATTGAAAATATTATGTCCCATAGTATCATAATATGTCAAAACCCAGGGATTTCTACCAAGCTGAGAAGTGACTAATTTTTAAGTAATTTCCTTACCTCATTTCCTTTTCTATTTTTTACATTATCAGACAACTTCAAATAGACATGTGCTCATTGAACCCACAGATGAACAATACTAAAGGTCTGTTTGCATCCAAACTATCATGTTACAATTGCAATGTATTCCAATGTGGTTTAGCTTATGTTTATACTTTATAGTACAGAAAAATAATTTTAAACGTTAAAGTCACTTCCACTTTTTAAAGGTCATTCGTTGACACTGGATACTCTTTAGTCACTTCTTCATACAATACAATGTTCAATACAATTGCTAGTAATTGCTAATGGTAACAACTGGACTTACATCCACTTCAGAAGGTGCAGTCAAGTAGCAAGGGTTCTGTTTCCACATATCTACGCACTGGAAGATGAAAAAGCAGTATTAATGTATTAAAAGTTTTAAATAAATAGTTAGAAGTATACCCACTTATGACTCGAACACTTACATTTCCAGCTTTAGAAATTTTGAGGTCATACTGCTGGGCTCCTTTCCTCTCCTTTCTTTTCTGTAAGTAGTCAAGTAGTCTGAGCTGAGGTGGAGTTGAATAGTGAGCTACTTCCTGCTGTCTGTTCAGAGACGACCTTGAGTACCTTTTGAAGCACCTATGGTAAAATGACAGATAAGCTTGTAAAACCGTCAAAATTAAATTCCCCACTGCCTGAGTACAAACACAAAAATTATGCAGGGAAATGCTACTTACACTGAGACTGAAAAACAGGTTTTGAAATATTAATTTAAAATTGCTATTCTGGATTACACTGTACAACTCAAACTCTTGATTTAATATTTTTAAAAAATACTAGTATTCTGTTCACATGTTTCAGCACTAAGAATGGGGTTATTTTTGAAATGCATAATTGAAGTACATTGTCAAAATGAGTAACTAACGGAAAAGTTGCCAAGCTTAAAATATTTGTATATTATCATAGATTTCAGTTCTGTCGAAAGATTTACATGCTGCTTATGTAATTGTAAAGTCATAAACACAGTCACTACCCTCCATTCTTGGTCTCGTGCCAAACCCACTGACACATTAATGCTGTTCTGGACATTCATTTAACACCTTCACCTATTTTTCTAGTGGAAAGTTTGCTGACCACCAAGCTCTAATTTTAAGGACAGCTTGATCAATTTCACTATTTATACTTTTCTAGACATTACCACTGGTTGTACATTAGCATAGTATTTCAATGCAAATCTAGTTTTAAATATTTCAGTAATTCTGACAGGCCATTAGTACATTTTCATTTTACAGAGTGAATGCAACTCTTAGTAGAACAAATGTGAACCATTTCAAGCTTTTGTGGAAAAAAGTGAACAACCATGCACAAAATTGAAACAATTCTAACTTTTTGTAGATACTGCATTCCACATTACTTTTAACTTTTCTAAGATTCTAAGATGCCTACACTTCTGTTTAGCCTAAACATCAAGCATTTAAATAAATCCCTTGATTTCCTCATTCAAGGTTAAACTTGTACATAGCTTTTAACAAATCAGAGACCGATATGCAAGATACCTGTTTATATACTTTACATTACTGAGCTGCCATTTGATTCAGCTTACCTCTGAATTATGCAAAAAAAAAGACAAAATTAAAACTGCAATAATGTATTATGTTAAGAAAATAATATATATACACATTCTTTTGATATACAAAAATAAGCATATTACAGTATCTACCACTAATTGAAATACAGTACAATATTGAGCACTTAAGATATAATTTCTTGACTGTTCCTCATATTCCTAATATTTAAGTAGATATTAGTTTGAGCACTGCATATGAGAAGCAAAATTTTCACATAGAGCGTTGCTTATATTTTTCTTTGAAACACTTCATAAAATTTCAAAGAAAGTCTCAACATGCTTCACACTGAAAATTACCGTTTCATGGGACGAGTATTCATCTTCTGCTTGTTGTACAGGAGTCTGTTTGTAGTACAGGTCACTGCTATTGAAGGATCAAGACACAAAGGCTCTGCTGTAGCCAAAATAAGTTGGCTCTCAAGTAGGAGTTTGTCCTCCTGTAATATACACAGCCATTAATGAATGTAAAAATATGAACACTTTTACACTAATTAAGTTGATATATACCTACACATATGTGCACATTATCTTAAAGAAAACTGAAAAAATTGTGTGTGGATATTGAACAAAAGAAAATATTCAACAGTTAAGTATCACTAGCCATTGTTATGAGTTACAGAGCTTTGCGTTGGGTTTCCAACAGGAAAATAAATCCTTCTCAAAAGCAGAAGGCATGTTCTGTTTGTTTGTGTTTTCTTTGTTTGTTTGTTTTAACACAGTACTAGTGGCAATGAAATCCATTTTCTGTCAGTGATTTATACTGATGGACTGGCAATCAGTGCCATAAAGATGACCTACCTAGGACTTTAGATTACAATTTGAAATGGATTTGAGCATGATTGTGGCTCAAATACAAACGAGCACATCAAGTACACCATGCTATTCAGCATTTAACTATAACTGTACAACCACAGTTACTTGGGATCCTCTTTACTGTAACTGTATCAATAGCAAAATGATGCTAGAGGAGCAATTGTGTCATTATACTCCAACTGCTGTTCTGGGGATGTATGCTGAAGATGAATGAAGTAAGGTAAACTAGTTAGAGTAACTCCAATACTGTCATTCTGCATTACCAAAAATTAAGGTCTTATTCTACAAAACTTAGCAAATCCTATTGTTTTCTATGGCATCTTGTGAGAAGATGCTATTAACAAGTTAATTTGGCAGCTCTCTGGAGTGTGTCCCATGCAGCACTATGCACATCACTGACACTCTGAATCAATAAAAAACATAATCAGTTTTGCTTATCAGATTTTATTAAACAAAGAAATAAATAATTTAAATAAATTTTAATTTATTGTGTATTTACTGCATTACTGTAAAGTTTTAAAATAACGGCTAACCCACCTGTGTCCATTTGTGGTTGTCACTTGTTATAGAATGCACATCACATATTAAAGTCTGAGGAAGAAGACATAATGGTAATTAGCTTTTGACTAAATAATAAGATTTTTTAACATACCGTCCTGGTTTCGGCTGGGATAGAGTTAATTTTTTTTTTCCTAGTAGCTGGTATAGTGTTGTGTTTTGGATTTAGGATGAGAATAATTTTGATAACACACTGATGTTTTAGTTGTTGCTAAGTAGTGCTTACAGTAGTCAAGGACTTTTCAGCTTCTCATGCCCTGCCAGCGAGAAACTGGGAGCAGGCACAGCCAGGACAGCTGACCCAAACTGGCCAAAGGGCTATTCCATACCATGTGACATCATGCTCAGTATATATAAACTGGGGCGGCAACTGCTGCTCGGGAACTGGCTGGGCATCGTTCGGCAGGTGGTGAGCAATTGCATTGTGCATCACTTTTGTATATTCTTTTATCATTGTTATTACTATCTTCCCTTCCTTTTCTGTCCTATTAAACTGTGTTTACCTCAACCTATGACTGACTTTTTTTTTTTCCTGATTCTCTCCCCCATTCCACTGAGGGGCAGGGGGAGTAACGAACGGTTGTTTAGCGGCCTGCCGGGCTAAAGCATAACACATATGTTACGTAATAGCTCATATCCAGTCTAGGAACTACTATAAAACAGTGAGGAATGACTTAAAACACTTCTTACCTGCATTGTAGGACGCAAAAGAATGTGCTTGCTTTGGTATGTTGGAGATTTCATGTTACCAGACTGCCTATAGTCACGTATTTCTGCTATGACACATCCACAATGAAAAATATTAACCTAGTTGAAACAAAAAAAACAATTTGTAAAAAAACCAAGTATTTACCAATCTGCCTCAGCCCTTGCCTCCAAAAAGAAGTTTGCTGTATATCATATACTATTCAGTGATACTATGAATAAAACTAATCACTAATTTTGTCAGGCCAGTGGTCTTTACTACATACCTAGACGTACCTAAAATACAAGCTTCAAATATAGTGTTTTCATATGCCTGCAATGTAGTTTTAAGAAATTCCCATGTCAAATGTTTCATAATGACAAAGAACAAAGGATATTTCGCTAGAGCACAGAGTTGAAGTTGTTTGGCAGCATTAACCATAGCAATCTCTCTTCTACCTCTTTCTCCCCAATATTTTTTTTTCCTATATCTCAATAAAATACTTATTTGGGGCATTAAATATCACAGTTCCAAACGCACAAGTGTTTTAAAGTCTTGTGGTTGGAATCACCTATGTGAAGCATTCAGAAAATCAAGGTCTATCTGGGCACAAAACGTAAGTTCTTTTTGAAAACAAAACTTTCAAACCTGAGATTTTTCTAAAAGATCAACCAAAATAGGTGGTAGCTCCTCTGCATCCAAATATTCAAGCAGCTCTCCTTCCTCATAAGGCAGCCGAATGGTCTCAGAATCTGAATTTAAACAAAACATATTGCTTTTCAAGTTCAAACTTTAACAATGTGAAATCTAAAAGCTTGCCAGAGGAAAAAGCAGGGCCTGCGGAAACCTATCCAAACCTGCAATTTTTTTGCATGGTATTGATTTTTTACATCCATTTCTGTTGCCAGAGCTTGATTTTGCTCTTATTGTGCCAAAAGGCAACATGCCTTTATAGCTCAATGGGATGAAATTTTTGCTCCCAGCTGATATACTGTATGGTCTTATTGCACATTGCAGTACCAGTGTCATGAAGATGCAACTAAACTGGACCACAGATGCCTTTAGTCAGACCTAGATTTAGGAAGCAGTGAAAGAAACAATTTGTGAGGAGTCTGAAGTGAGAGAAACTCAGATAAGCAACACAAGAAGCCAAGGGGAAATAAAAGAATGGAAGGCTATCAAAAAGACTCATATCCACTGATTTATGCTGTACCATTAGAGACCATTTCTGAGCACCTCACAGCTTTATGCAAGTTTTTAGTTCAAGTACAACTGTTCGGGGTTTGTGGGTTTTTTTGTTTGTTTTTGTCCACAAGGGATTATGTTAGAAGTGAAATAGTTAAATGCAAGCAACAACACATTCCAACTATTCACAGAGCATTGTGAGCATATTTAAAAATAAATAGCAAAAATATTACCTGAGCCATTTTTTCCCCTGAGCATAAGTGAATAACCCTCATTTCCCGGATAGAGGTTCACTACCAGACATGACAACGTCTCCTGCATAACCAGCTTCTCAAGTAAATTCACATTTCGCCTCAGCTTCTGCTTTAAAAGTAAACATTGCTTATGAACATAATACTATCAAGTAATTAGTAGCAATAAAAACCATTGCTAGAATATGAATACTGTTTAGATTAATGTTGAAGTATACAGCCAAACAAGCCCTGTTAAAGTTAATTGGACTGTATTATTATACGTACTTATACACACAGATTTTTTTTAAAAAAATCTCATTTAAATTAAAAAAAACAACTTGAGTTATAAGTCCACAGGCAACACAGTTAACAAGAATGAACCTATGCTACTATGTTGTAAACGTACAGTGCACTATTATTTTTATCATTTCTATAAGCATCATTTATACACTATACATTGTTTGATAACAACAACAACAAAATATTTAGTACTTTCAAATATTCCTAGCAGAAGCAGATTATTCCTTTCCGTGATTAAAATATTGAATTACAGCATTTGGAAGCTTTCTTAATTGCATTGCTTTGTCTGTATTTGCTGAAATCTGATCCAGCAGCTGCAGAGACTTCTGCAGCTTCTTTAATTGTACGAATGATCTTTTCCACACACAACAGATTTTTAAAATTAATCAGTATGTTTCAAAGACCTGTACATCCTACAAATTTAAACATTTTAAAAGTCCCCTGAGAACTTAAAACAATGAATTCTAAACCTCAGATAATTTTACACCTTCTGGTTGAAGAGCAGATTTCATGGCTGAATACCAGGTCTGGGTGGAGCCATTCATTGGAAGTTAACCCTAGCACTCAGACTGCTCAACTAATCATTTCACATACACCCAACTAAATAGTAGTGGGCCATCTCTTTTTGAACAAATTTATCTTTCCAGAGATATTGGGAAGATAGAAAGCAGAATCATTACTTGTAAGGGAACTGTTCCTAAGAGAAAAGTACTGAAAACAAACCCCCAAATCCCACAGCAATATAATCCAACAGATCATTTTAACAGGTATGCAGAGAAAAAGGAAGAAAATCTTTTTCATCTGCTGCTATGTAGTTTTGGAACCATTGCCCAAAGTTAACTCTTCTCCATGCATCATGAATGATGGTGACTATCTCCTACTGCCTTTTACAGTTTAGAAATTGTGGAAACTAACACAAAGAAAAGGACAAAGTAGCACAAAAATCCTGGAGAATTAATGGGGAAAGAACTGGAGGAGCAGGGGAGAATGGGGGAAAACATGTCATGGCCACAGTAAAGGTAGAGACTACTCAGGAAAGCCAGTTCCTCATACAGGACTCTGGTGATGCAACCTGTTATGCAAAACCTTCTGCAGTTAAAAATCCTATTAACCGCCCCCTCATCGACCCCAGAACAAGAGACTGCACATGCACTGCTTCACTTTTCAGACACGTTCCTGAGTAGGGGACATAGCCGTTGGGCTTTCACTTAGACACAGTATGAAGTAGCCTGGGGTACAGTAATTGCCACTGGAAAGCAAAGTCAACACTCAACTACTCTGACATCTCTTCTCTTAAGAACTGAGATATTGTCATCTTTTAATGGAAAAGTTCTTTTTTCAGTGTTGGATAGATTAATACTTTCATATTTAGTTATACAATGGCATTAGGAGGACAGAAAGGAATATAAGAATTCTGTAAGAGTTGATTCAAAAAAGGATCATCATGTTATGTAAGAGAGGTTAAGAAGAAATTAATTATTTAAACTGAAGTTATATTTAAAAATAAAAAAGAAAGCAATAAAAAAATAAAAACAATTCAATTCCTCTATCATTGGGACAGAATTCATATTGCTTCTAGAAGTTGTTACTAATAATACTGTTAACATTTCCAATTCAACTTTACTATTTTCATGAGCTGAAGAAAAAGGATCATTCAATTAAGGGCATTATTCCATCCAAAATACAGGCACTGAATAATGTATACTAACTAGTAACCACTCATAGAATTTTTAAATAAACAATTAATCTTTTTTCCCCAGAAATTTGTCTATGCATGCAAGAAATAGCCATGAGATTTATTTTTATGGAAGGCCTCTGCTCCTTAAACACTTCATAAGTAAAATATATAATGGTAATTCAGTTGTAAATGTAATTAAATTTAGTTAATCACATCACTCTCTAGTTTAAATTTATTCGGTGAATGATATGTTAGTTTTATTTTTTAATTTTTAGGTTTTGTTCAATAGTAGCTGGCCAGTTATGGCTTGGGGTTTTTTTTGCTTGTTTCATTTTTTGGGGGGTTAGGATGTTGAAGGGGGAAGACAGGTAAAGGAAAGAGGAGGGGACACCACCACAGACCTAAGAACATTTCTGAAACTGCATTCATATGACTTGAGCTTCTGAAGACAAATTCTAAGCACATTTTAAAATATAAAGCCTCTCTAAGACATGGGAGTAAGTTAGCATTTTAAGTACAAACATTTCAATAAGCAGGTGAAGTTACATTTCACTAAGCATGAAAATTTTTTGACTACAAAAATCAGCTTTCTCCTTTGAGCTGGCTATTAGAGATATTAGCTCAGAGCTGATATTAAGCATTAGCTCAGGTCTTGTCTGGAAAGATTTTAAAGATCAAGAAGTGGCCTGAGGTGTATTACATTTCTTAAGCGTTCATCGCAGTATATTGCAAGAGTTCAAACACCAAGCAACCAGGCCAGTTATACTGCTCTGTTACATCAGCTAAAACTCCTAACCCTCTCTGACTTCATCCACAGAAAAGCAGCACTCCTCCCTCCTGAACACACACCGCAGCGACTGCGCAATGGCTGGGAAGCAGCACAGAGAAGGCACAGGTGCTTCCTTTCACTCCCAGTGACTTCTGATGACTTACTACTGAATAAAGAATACTGAGTACTCCTGCCTAACGAGATTGAAGTAGTAATTTTATGCTGTTTGTTACTGCTCTGTTCTTGGCTATGAGGGAAATGTTAATTTTAATACCTACTCCTCCAACGGTGCACTGGTGTTACACAAAATTATGATTTTATCTTTATCATGACTACTTTTCTTGTCCCTCACGGTAGCATCTTAAATCGATTTTCCCATTTACCTTTATGACTGAAAAGTTGGTCAAAAACCATAAAATAAACAGATTGCTTCCATAAAAAAAGTTCTTGTAGCTATTTACTAATCTCTGTGAAATGGAAACCTAAACTAACCATCCCAGGTTCTTCCCTTGACTTTGGACACATTTCATTAATCCCAGCACCACTTTATGATGCATAGAAGATACACCTTCGAAGGTACAATTTTGTCTAAACTTCAACAGAACTATTAACTATTTGAAAATTAACTTCATGAACAATGCTAAGCATTGTTCTTTCAGGAAGCAGAAAAAGCAAAGCGGAGCTTCGTATATATTGACTGAAAAATAAAACCCAACTCGCTAAAACAATTTGAGGAAGCATCATTTTTCGGTTATAAAATACAAGGAAAAAACTGAAGCCTAAAGACCTTTGTGACCTAGCTGAACTGAAATCAGATCCTCAGAGAAGACTGCAATTCATAACTAAGTATACTTCTACTAGGGTATAACTGGCTGTGTCAATCTTGGGCTGCCGTTCTAATAGAGACTAGTATTAATGCAGCTCATAAAGACAGGGCCATGCAGCCTCTCTAGTGGAGGCAAGAAAACGTGTTTCATAAGTAACACCTAAGGTAAGTTTTTGCAGATCAAACTTCAGGAATACTGTGGTCTGAACAAAGTCTGCTCAGTTCACCCTAATGAGGTTAGCTTTACTTTAAAGTGCCTTCTTACAATCATTTCCTCACCTTACACATAGAAGTTGTATTTTCTTCAAGAACAGAAAGATGCATGCAAGACGATGTTCTATACAATTTCACAAATACATCCAACCCTGCATATCATTCGTCACCATTAGAGATTAATGAAGGACAAAAAATCCCACCAAACCAAACAAAAAACCCCCACTGTTATCTGGCACCATTTGGTTTATTCATGTGTCGTAATTACTCATTTCCCACAGCTACCAGTGTACCTCTTAGAAGCACTTTTACAGCAAAATAGCAGATATGTGCTTTACTATTTTTGCACTAGTTCAGCATGGAACTTAAGTGACTTTCATTAACAGTGTTCTGAAACTTTAATTACTCCGAGATGTTTTCATGCTTGCACACTGGTGCTACCATGTGCAGCTGTCAGAAAGCACCAATTGAGAATGGGCGACTGATCAGTGATTTTTAGTATTTTTTTTTCTGTAGTGGAGCCCCTCAGGTTTACCTGCCTAGCACAGACCACAGACCAGGTCTGTTTCCACATTCATGTTTAAGACTGCTTCCAAAATTATTGTTTTGATTTTTATTTCTTTCAACTTTTAGGTACAGGAATGCTGCATGCTAGAGTCCAAATGAAAAACTGCTCTAGAGAATCACCTCAACATAGTCAGTTCTCTCGCTAGTGTGCACGCACACAAGTAGAAGAGATGCTGAGAAGTAATGAAGCTGGGCAAACTGGACTAATAGAAGATGAATAATTAATTAGTCCTCTGTGAATTATTGTGGAAAATCTGGTCTTCCCTATGAACACCAAGAACAAGGATATGACCAAGTAAACTGCAGGGTAGAAAATAGGAACATGACAGAGATGCAGTATTACAAGAGCTAAGATAAAGGGAGAAAGTTAAGACTGAAAAATAATAGTCAGTGTCAATTTAAAAATTGCTTCTGAGTGGACAACATAATTACAACTTCTACCATCAAAATGGTACAATACTGGCATAGCAACTTTGACAGTTCTGTACACTAAAACCTTTAAGTTACATTCAAGTCATTGGTCAAACTCTAGTCAGAATACTATTTCCTTCTTCAGTTTTACTGTGCAAATTAAAAGACAAGTAGGCAGCCCTATGCTCGCGGATGAAGTTTCACAATAGCACTATCTTGTAACCTTTGCACCTTGATCTTTGAGCTTCTCATTTTCAATAATTACAATCCATAACATAAGATCAAGATATCTGTTAACTGTCCACATCTTAGTTCAGTGAATAGGGGCTCTAAATACAAATTTTTCTATCATAATAAGCTTCCAGTTCTTCAATAAAGAAGAACTTAAATTTTTACTCAAATCTAGATCAGCAATAACTCACTTGATCTACTGTGACGTTATAACTCTCTTCATCACTTATTTTTTATTACAGTTTTATTTTATTTTATGACAGTTGGGTAAGTTTGGCGAGTGTCTTCTAGTTTAACAACTATTGCATTGAAATCCTACCTTTTTTCCAGATTCCAGTCTAGCAAGCCTGACCTTCTCCCTGCTGCTCAAGTATCTTGTTATTCATATTGACATTTTAATCTTTTCAAGTGTGTAATTTGCTTAACACCTCAGGTTTCTGATTTGAATCATATGCTAAATAAAACTAACTACATCTGAACAACCAAAAAGAATTACAGGTGCTCAGTAACTAATCTCTCATTCCCATTTGTCTTCTCATAGGTTTTTACTTCCTTGGGAAGCAGCAATACAGCAGATTCCACACTTATTGTTCTCATTCCATTTGATATTCACAGTTTAGCAAAATAGTTTGTGCCTTTTACGCCTTAGATTTATCGTCGCTAAGCCTGTTTGAGCTTCTTTGTTAATGTTATGAAAAAATTTCACAGAACACCTTAGCAGTTCATCAGTTATCGAGAAATAAATCTGAATTTACAACAAAGCACAGATTCTAAAAAATTCTCTGCATTTTTCCCATGGCAGTTATGCTAAGCAATTGGTTCTGAAACAGTCATACTGAAAACAATGCATGTGGCATTGACACTGGCCCTGAACTTGACCACAACTGACTTCAGTGATGCAGGATTAAGTCAGAATGAACAGGTCACTCAAGCCAGTCTAGGCCTTATTATTCATATTATATCACTCAGTTATTTTTAATAGTACTGTTATCTAGTAAACTTGTTAGATACACCTCTGCATTCTAGACCATTCTTTTGAAATTCTCTCTTTTCATATATAGAAAAGCATCTCGAGCACAATCTTTACAGTCCTCTGCCAGCAGTCTACCTTATTACCTTTAAAAACAGATTTAGCGTTACCAGGTAGCCATTGGCCCTCCCATCACCTTGTTCTTATTTCAAGCTGAACTAAGCTGATGCTATTAAATTACACAGTTTAGTCCACAAAAGTCATAGCAATCGTTTCTCCTGTAGTGTTAGCCTTACGTAACTAGTATAGTAACCAGAATTTATTCTTTTTGAACAAAGGAATTAAGTGAAATAAAAAAAGTATTTTCTGAACTTGCCTGTTCAGACAGCAATGAAAAGCTTCTTAGCAATTTCCACTTACCTTTATCTCAGGCTCTTTTTCACATTCTTCTATATATAAATCATAGAGTTTTTGAAATACAGATTTTCTGAAATTAAAAAAAGCTTAAAATGTAACCAAAATTAAATCAAAGAAATGCTATTTAAAAGGTAAATATTGAAACTCTTACTACCTTCCACTGGATAAATATTTTCTTTTGGGAGGTCTCTGACGGGCACTTTCAATGATATACTAGAAGAGAAAAGTAAACCAAAAAATAACATATATATTACAAAGAAAGTTAATTCTAGCTACCATGCAACTTTGGATCATTACCAGACAGTGTTCTATGGATACAGAAAGTAACTAACGGTTATGGTACCTGACTGTTTCAGAAGCGTACTAAACATGATCTGGTATATGTTACAGTCATCAACAAGGACACATCTCAATTTAGCTGCGAAACACAGCATTTCATGGCTATGGCATGAGTTGCACACGAAGTCTTGATTTTACATTCATGTTTTGTAATTACAGCAGTAAATAACACTACTGTAGTAGTTAACACTACTGTACTTAGTAGTTAATGCTACTGAAGTTAACATGGTAACATACTGAAGTTAACATGCTAAGATACAATCAAATTTGTGTGTACTGGCTCGTCAATATTTACAAATCAAGTACTCCTCAACATAACCAAATTCAGGAAGTTTAATTTTCCCCTTGTTTCTTGCATTTACACTAGTTTTCTCTACAGAGCTGTGTATTATAAATACAATTCATGTACGTTAAATATTTGAATTAAAAAAAGAAGAGGAAGAAGAAGAAGAAGAAAGATATCCTGCATTAAATGTAGCTTATATTCTAACAGGGTTTTTTCAAATCTCTGTTGTTTGTCTGAAGTATTTTGATTAACAACTTAGTTGAGAATTTCAATGAAGAGAGGTTCGCCCACAGAAACATATTTCCCATAATAGGGTTCAAGGTAACCATTATATCAGATGTCAGCATGAAAGAACATGAATGTAAAGGCACTTGCCCCTTTGTTCTAACTGGGCTACCCTTAAAAACACAAACAGGGTTTTGCCATGTATTTCTGCCAGCTGTCTCTGGATCACCACTGTACAACTCCGCTTATTTCACAGCGCACAGATTTGCCGGTTTAACAGGGGAAAACTGAAGTCCTGCATAGTCTATCATCATTACACCTGATGATGTTCTCAGTATGATGGATAAGAGAGAAATATGCCACAGAGCAATTTTAGGGAGAATTTTGCAAAACCAGTGTTACATGTATGGGTGAATATTTATATACATACACACATATATTTACATAACATACTCCTCCACTGCTTTTCAGAAAAAATACAAAAATACAATAGTTATTTTTTAACTGTGAGACCAATATATTATGTGCAAACAAATAACTCAGCTATTCCTTACCTCTGCGCGATCCAATGCCAGTTCTAAAGCTTGTTGCTGCAAGGATTACAAAGGGTTTTTTTTAGAAAGCGCATTAACTGTTTAGACATCCTCATACATAAAAAACACTACAAAAACTCTATTAGTACCGATATGAATTTATAGTTAGAAGATGAGCTCAAACATTCTTTGGCACATACTAAACTTAGCAGGTGAAACCTCATGTAACTGCATCAACAGTAATTAATCCCACTACCAAGTGTCTACACTTGCACAGTTTTGACAAAATTATGAAGTCTTAGAACAATGAAAGGCAATTAGAATTAAAAGTAGGAATAGAAATTACGCCTAAGTAAAAAACAAATATTAACCAAAACAATTAGAGATGACAAGTAGAAAATCTAGGCTACACTAATCAAAAAATAGAGAGAAGTGTTTCGGAGAATCTTCCACTTTTCAGTAAAGCTTAGTAACACTTGTAATAGGTACTCCTTCCCACATATATACTTGTGTTGTTTCCTCAGTTTAACCCATCCCTATCAGCTGTTTGTGAAAGCAAATACCTTTACTTGAACCTGAAGGAACAGAAGGCATATGAACCACATCCAATACATGGCAGTACTAGTTATTTCATACTTTAGAATAGAATTTGGGGGAGAAAAGCATATTACAAGTAACAACAAAGAAATATACAGCAAAAATACTCAAGCTTTTTACCATTCACCTACAGTGTCTCTAATACAAAATTTCTTACCTGTTCTTGGAAAAGAAAATGCACTTGATGTGCTATTACTCACTAGAACCTGCCACTGCAGAACACTAAAAATTTTAAAGTGCTTAGGTGTTTTTATTAATACGTCAGATACATAGGTCTAGTGGATAATTGCATGATTTCAGACGTTCAGTTCACTGACTGCTTGACAATAGGCAAAAATCCATGGCAATATTGCCACCTGTAAATGGAAGAATACTATGTGGAGGCAGGATTTATACTTTACACTCAACTGTCTAACACCAGTCATGACTGCAAACACACCACTAGCTTTATATGATAACTCCTATGATGCACTGGACAGTGACTAAGTGTTCAGAAGTATTTACAAGCTATAAAGGAAGACATCCCTAAAAAAAGAAATATCAGAACTCAAGAGTGACAAGCAAAATAATTTTTTTGCAAAAATGAGAAACATTAATGGCATTCTCCTTATCAGCCAGACAGCTAGCAGACTAGAGTGAAAAGATCTGAAAATATATTACCTGAATCATAACTTACCATTGTAGTTGAAGCCAGGTGACCAAATGGCAAAAGAAGTACTTAAGTTTGGTGCAGCAGGCAAAGAATCATATTTTATGGTCACACTTGGGGTACTGAAAAAAAATGAAGGAGAAAAAATATCACTAAGAAACTAAATTAGCATTTTATTTAAATACAATATTTTCAGTGGTTAATTGTAGTTAAATTTCATTTGCATAGTATCCTTTCCTCCAAAAGTAGAAACAAAAAAGTTTCAGTGTCAGTGTGGAGGTTTCTATTCTAATGACTACTACTACTTTGCACAATCGTTTTACATTAGTTATATTAAATAGTAAGGTAACAATAAGCATGTAATTGAAATTATAGAGCCACGTAGTCTTCTCTATTGCAGCAGTCTACCTAGACAACCCACACATCACATCCACAGATGCACAGAAGGCTAGAATATTTAATGACAAGCAGCCATAACATTTAGTATACACTACTAAGTTTTTTGTTTTGCTTTTATGAAGGTATTATTCCATAGACAACAATTCCACTAGCAGTGCCTTCTAGCACTATTTTAAGATGTTAGTTTAATACTGACTCATAGTAGGCTGTCGATCACAAATTTGCACAGCACTAGCATGTTCCTTAGATGTCCTTGCCCTCAAATACTATGCCCCATGCCCTTTCATTTTCAAAGTCAGCTAGACAGTTGTATACAAAAACAAACAAACAAACCTAGCTAATACCTCCAATCTTTAAATACTGTCCTTAGTATCATTCCCAATGACAAGATGTGAAAATTCAAGTCAATTTTGCCTTCACATTTGAATGCTACAGTGCCTTACGATACTTGAAACATTCACTTAAGAAATTCCACCACACATAACTTTAATTTGTGGAAATATTTCTGTTCCAGCTACATTCCACATCAGCCATGGCTTTGGTAAACACCTTCCTAGATATCAAATGACATGTGCCTGCTACCTCACACCTCCCTAAACCTTACTCAGCTGTTTCAGAGTCGAACCAATTTAACTAGAGAAAAACCACAATGACTCAGAGCTCCCCGCAAGGCTGAAACCTGCTGGCTTCTGGCAGACGGCGAGGTGGTGGGCGAAAAGGAGCCTGCACAGGATGGCCTGGGGGGCGTCCAGCCGTGCCATCCTACAGGCCGGCTGGTTTCCGAGCAGCCTCTCCACCCCCGCCGGCGCCCACGCTGAAGCCGGGTCCTAGGAGAAGGAGACCGACCGAGCACCCAGCCCGACTGCGAGCGAGGCGCAGGTGCAAGCCCCGCAAGGGACGGGGAGCCCGATCCGCACAGGCCCTGCTGTAACCGCCCCGCCGAGCACCGCCAGCCGGGCCAACCGCACCTCCGCGCCCGCCGGGGCTGCCGCCGTCTCCGCGGAGACGGGCCTACCCGCGAGGGCGGAGAGGGACCG